TTACAGTATATTATCAAAAAAAACTTACTATTTAGATAAAATTAAATTTTACCAAAAAATGTATTATATTTCTAAGAAACCAGAAGACTGAGAAACCAGAAGACAAAGAGTTCAGAAGACAGAAAGACAAAAACCAAGAGACAGAAAGACAGAGACCAAGAAACAGAAAGACTGTGACTGAGAAACAGAAAGACAGTGACTGAGAAACAGAAAGACAGAGACTAAGAGACAGAAAGACAGAGACTGAGAAACAGAAAGACAGAGACTGAGAGACAGAAAGACAGAGATTGAGAGACAGAAAGACAGAGACAGAAGACAGAGACTGAGAGAAATAAACAAAAAACTAAAGAAACAGAACCAAAGAAACAAAATCAGAGAGACAAAAAACTATAAAGACAAGATGTCAATAAAACAGAAAGATAAAGTAACAGAGAAATAAAGAAACAGAAAGATAGAAAATTAGAGAAATGAAGAATTAGAAAATTAGAAAAATAAAGATTTGAAAAAATAGAATTAAAGAGATGAAAAGTCAAAAAGATAAAAAGTTAAAGTAATTAATAAAATAACATAGAGAAAAGAAGATTATCTTTGATAAACCTGTAGTAAAATAATAAAAATTCCAATAAAAAATAAGTAATTCATTAATAAAAGTTAAAAAAAATTTAAATAATACAGTAAAGAAATGTTTATACATTCACCAAAACATTTTTCATGCTTTATTAAATTATTTAGTTGTCATTAGTGTTGGCAGTTGAAACTATTTTTGACAAATGGCAAAAGACAAACCTAAACTTGATGAAAGATGAAACCTGGCAAAACTTTGGTGAAACGTCAAAACTCTGATGAAACTCTTGCTAAAGTTGAACCCCTAGGAAAAGTCAAAACTTGATGAAGATCAAATCCTCTAAGACTTCTGAAAAGACTGAGCCATCTAGTTTTATTATAATATTATTAATAAAAATTTAAAAAAGTTTAAAGTTTTTTTTTTTATTAAATTCATATAAGATGATTGACAAAATTAGCCAATCAAATTGATGCATGATAAATAAGAGTATCACGCTATGCTATATATATATATAAATAAAAATATTGATGATTATATAAAAAACTTAATTTTTTTCAATTACCTTTCTATTCTTGCTAGTTTTATCATTTTTTACTAATTTTATTACCCTTTTCCAATTTTGCCACCTCTATTAGCAGTTTTGCCAGTTTCGCAGTTTCGCTGCCTTTCACCAGTTTCACTATTTTGATTTTTTTTTTGACGAAATCGAAACTAGTTTTGCCTGCCAACACTAGTTGTCATTATGCAATCCTTGATGAAATTGTATGCCTACTTTCCTATAATCAATTATAGAATGTTTACTTATATGAAAAGGCTTTTTGATCAGGGTTTTGAGTTGACTAGTAAGTAGCTGATAAAAATTCAAGAATCGACAATCTATTAAATAGATTTTTAATCTTGTTATATAAATAAAAATAAAACAATAAATCTGACAATTAAATTAATGAAAAAAAACAAAAAACAAAAAAACCAAAAAATAATTAAATAAAAAAAAAATAAAAATAAAAATTATAGCTGTCGCTCAATTCCTGAAAGTTATTTACCCTCCAACAAATTCCCCAGACATCATAATACTGGCATGATATTTCATCTATAGCACATTTTTTTAACAGATATATATTTGGCATTACATGTTTTCAACAATCCTTTTCTTAGACAAAACATTTTTCTGACAACTATTTCTTTGACATCAAATTGGCCTGATTTAGATTTAGGGTTAGTTAATTTAGAGTTAGTGTTGTGAGATTATATGATAATGAATAATTTTTAGGAAAATATCTTGTCTAAGAAAAGAATTGTTGAAAACATGTAATGTCAAATATATGTTTGTCGAAAAAATGTGCTGTATATTATAGCTGTTTTCAAAAGAGATTACAGTATTGTACAGGTGAGCAGATCCATATAGTATAGGCCAAAATTAAAAGGAAGTTTAAGTTATACTATACTAATCAGCTATAATTTCTAACCCTAATGCTAATATATACAAACCAGATCAGTATGGTATAGGTTCTAAAACTCAGTCTATACTATACTGATCTGCTCACTCATATATACTAATCTGTGAAATACTATATACCTATGTAGGAAATCAAAGAATCGAGAAATTCCAATTAGTAAAAATTAAATGTCCAGTTAGCACTGGCTTTGAAAATTCTGGAAATCTGAAAAGTTTTAAAATATGGTGATCTATGTCTGTTTACACCTTTTGAAAATAGTTATAAATGTCATATCAGTATTACTATGTCAAGGAAACAAGTTGGTGGGAAAATAACTTTCGAGGAATTGTCATATAACCTATAGTATACATAAAGATGGGCACATGCTTGATTCTGCATATGATGTGCAGGATTTTTTTTAGATCCCAAGTGGAATTTTATAAGTTTCAAAAATAAAATTATTTAACTGGCATTACTATAACATCTGGTCAGCATTAATATAAGATATGGCCTGCATTAACATATTTAATTTATAGTACCAGGAATGAATATATATAGAATATATGCTGTTTGAAGTGTAATTTGTTCACAAAATCTTAAGTTATTACAGAGTATAATTTGAATCAAAAATTCAAACATAAGCGATGTAGTAGTTGTAATAACTAATGATAGAAAAGCAAGAATTTTAGACTCAAAAATTGG